ATCTCAACGCTTCAAACTCACGAGACGCAATCTCAAAACGACGAAAAAACGGGGAGAATTTTCGAAATTTGAAAAACGCGAAGCCAAGGCATTAAATTTCAGCAAAAGGGCTTAAAATCAAAAATTTTGGGATCTTAGCGCTTCAAACTCACGGGATTCACTCCCAAAACGACGAAAAACGTGGAAAATTATCGAAATTGGAAAAACGCGAAGCCAAGAGGTTGAATCTCCGGGGAAGGACTTAAGGCCAAAAACTTTGGGACTTTAGCACTTCAAACGCACAGAATTCAACCCCAAAACGGCGCCAAAATGTGGAAAATTTTCGAAATTTGAAAAATGCAAATCCAAGAAACTGAACCGCAGGGAAAGGGCTGAAATTCAAAAACTTTGGGACTTTAGCGCTTCAAACGCACAAAATTCAATCCCAGAACGACCGTAAAACGTGGAGAATTTTCGAAATTTGAAGAACGCAAATCCAGGAAGTTGAATTTCAGCGGCACGGCATAAAGTCAAAAAGTTTCGGGATCTTAGCCCTTGGCTTCAAACGCACGAGGCCCAATCCTCAAACGATGGCAAAACGTGGAAAATTTTCGAAATTTTTACGCATATCGCTTACATCTTTGCCTTGCTTCGTTTCTTATTTTGGGGAGGAGGGGGATCCTAGTGGGAGGGATGTTATCGGACGCTCCAAGCTAGTATTTGAGAAAGTATTAATGTGTATCGAAACTTAGACTTAGAGAGTACTACATAAAATTGTGATTCAACTAAAAAGTATGTAATTTTGTTGATGAACTATGTAAGTATGATGGTATCGTATTATGGTTGTAACGCTTTTCCGGACGGAGTGCAGAAATCGACGTCAATCTAAAACAAAGTTGAGCTAATAAAAAGTTGTATTTGTCCTCCTACTCTAATTAAAGTAGTTGAAGACTAGTGATAGCTAGCACTACAGTTCACCTTCACGATAATTTTCTATCAACTCCTCGTACTAGTGCTACTCACTATCTAGCAAGGTCTTCAATTATAGCTAGTTAGCTACTATAGGAAGCCCGGCGGTACTCCAGCAACGTGCAGCCCGAGAGTCATATGCGGAATCCTAATCGCCGCCCAGTGTCTTTACTGCAGGCGAGACCTCTCACCATGACACAGAAGGCGCGAGGCGAATTCACTGAGAGCCAACGCAACCAAAGGCAACGAAGAAGACGCAAGCATCCGGGCCAAGACGGTAGACTACGTCTCAACTCACTCAGAGGGGCGGCTTAGGGGCAGCTGCAAGCTCGCAGGCTGCCGCTGTTGGCGTTGGATGCCGCTCGAAGGCAACGAGGTCGAGGACAACAGCGGTAAAGAGAAGAGAACCCAAGGCGGAGGCGGATCGGAGTCCGGGGGAGTGAGTAGCGAAAGACCAGACGCCCAACACCGACGCAGGTGGTCCCAGGAGTCGACAGCATCCGCACAGAAGGGGCAAACCGTAGGGACTCGCGCGCCCTCCGGAATTCGCTCGAACCTCGCCGCACCCAAGACGGCAGCAGCGGCGCGCTGCGTGCTACGCCCTTCGTCCTGTAGAGAGCGCTAGGCCCGCCCCAGAACAGCCCGCGAGAAGTCGAGGGAGAGAAAAACGCCCGCGCTGACGGAGTTTGTGCCCGCGAAATCGGAGAGGGCGCCCCGCTCTTCCGTCCCAAGCAGCTCGGTCTTCAGTCATATGCTTCTAATTATATAATGAGTCGACAGTGTAGATGCTATTGTTATCGTTATTGTTATAGTATTAGTATATATAATATACAGGGATCCCTCAACTCGACCCAGCGTCCTCCTCTCCGACCCCACAAGTGAAGTGTCAGCAAGGCGCGCCCGTGTACAGTTGATGTCAAAAGAAAACCCATGCATACTTTGCAATATTCACTCCACTGGCACTGATGTGCTCGAACTATCATTCCAGTCAAGCACTTCGCCCTTTGTTTCCAAGTTTCAAAAAATGTGCGCTACCGTCTTTTCGACACACTGCATTAATGAACTACTTTCTTCTAGTACTGGCGTTACCGACTGGCGATAAATTCCACACAGCTAAAAGGGGGTGCACATCATTGACGATGCACCTCCACCTTCTACTTCATCTAGAGCCACCAGCAACACAGAGCGTGAGCGAGAGCTCCTCGATTTATTTTACAAATATAGTGCAAGTGCTACTTGTTGACGGTGAAGTATTACTACGAGAGCTCAATCAGATGATGAAGTAGTGGGACGAGGATTCTAAGAAAAAGAACTCAAGAACATAAATACTTCAACCATTTCATCAAATGGAAATCATCTGCTCTCCACAATGAAAAAAGCGAAAAATTACTAGAAAAGTGTGAATATGGTCGTCATGAGACACCTACTACTTGTAGTTTTCGTTTTGCGCATACAGTTGCTCCTTCTTTTTCACAGCTCGACTCGTCCTACCCTCTCATTTAGATATCTGATTTATTCTGCAGGTCTCGTCAGGCGGCACGCTCACTGTTTCTTGAAGATTGATAGAAGTTAACCTACGCAGGTCTTCCTAATCATGCACTTCCACTTCGTTCTGGTTCTAAAAAGTCCAGAAACACTTTTTGCACGGCGGGTTCATATGCAAATAAGTCGCCACTTTCTCCGTGTCTGCAGACGTACCAAGTAGCGAAGACACGGAGACAGACAGCAGAGTACTTCAAAAACTTTCTCGTCTGCCACGACGTTTGCTTAAAACTTCTGGTAATCATCAATCTTGTTCGATATCATCATCATGATGTCATCTACTTTTTATTGATGTTGATGTAAATTAAAATCATGATTATCTTCTGACTAACTTATTCTTCCTTCATTGTCACTAAGGGACGCGTGATTACAACTGAAAGAAAAATCGTCGCCGTTTGAGGAGGCTCCCAGCGGTGCGACGCAGGTGCGATCTAAGGTGCACGCGCTTCCCCAGCCTTGAAGAATGAACGGCTTCCGTTTCCTCTGTTGAAAAAATCCTGGACGATGAACAACTGGGAGGATACTTCTCCTGGATTCCTTGTCGTGGAAATTTTTTTTAGTCTTCTTCTTCACATCAAAAAGAATAATAAGCCACGAGATGAACGGTGGAAGTCTGTTCTGTCATATATGATCAATTACCTTGCAAGCTAGACCTGTGTCCTTCACCACCAATTTTCAATCCTAATTTTCGATACCCCTCTTCCTACCTCGGTGTCTTGCGTGTTTCTTTGCTGGCTCACTCGCACTAGTACTAGATTCTTCTAAGTAAGGCTAAGCCTAAGCCGCGGGCGATTACAATAACTGCAAACTTAACTAGAAGTGCAAGTACTATTAAATAGTCTAATTTAGTGGTCCAAATCAAGTAGTGGTTGTTCGTTGTAAAATTTGTTTCTTTTTACACTTCCAGTTCCACATCAACACAATGTCATCATTGAAGAGTGCGGCCCCGCTACTAGAAGGGGTTGCTCATGCTAAGCCACGTTCGCGCTTTCTCAAAATTTCTGTCAAATTTCTTGATGAGTGTGACTTTTGCAATCAAAATCATAATCGGATTATAAAAACGTCAGGGCAAAGATGTGGAGTCACGGATGTGTAGGCAAGGATGTCATGTCTGGGCAAGGAGATGTGGGCAAGGATATGTGAGCCAGGAGGTGTGCGCAAGGATATGGAGTCAAGGAGAAGGGGACAGGGACGCGAGGGCAGGGAGGTGGAGCCAAGGAGGTGGAGGTAAGGAAGTGGAGCTGGAGGTAAGGAAGGCGAAGGCAAACAAAGACGTGGGGCAGCGAGGTGGAACAAAACGGGCAACAGCCAAGACAAACGCGAGAGGCGAGAGCATGGCAAAGAAGGCCCAAGCAAGGCTTTCGCGATATCTAGCAACTAGCTATATTGTGAGAGAAAACCCGGCTCGCGCGTTGCTTGTTTCTTGTCGAAAATCCAACGAGAACAACACACCTGGGCGGAAGCGAGACCAACGAAAGCGAGTAATAGTTGTAACAAAAAACGAGGGTCAACATGCAGAGAGCATTGGAGGCGTTTCGTCATTTACAGGAAAAGTATCTCAATTATTCAACGATTAAAGACACCGACCCGAATTTCCTGTCAGTGTCATGCCCATTTCGTTGGATCAATCCAACAACTAAAGTCAGCTTGGAATTTGATAAAAGGCACTGTAGTTAGTAGGTTGTACTAGGTAGTGTCACGACCGCTGTAAACTCGAGAGGTCAATTCTTATCGTGATAGTCCAAACTTCTTCGGATGAGTACAAAGTAGCGAGGACAAAAAGAGCCGTAAATCATCAAAAAGAAGCACCACCTACCGCATTCAAAATAATCACTATCAATTTCAATAGAATTTTGATGATTGATGATTCAATTTAGAAGTTTCCAATAAATTGAGCCGTCATCTCTTCTTTAAAGCGGTTCACCGATCGTTGTCTCTCACCTTTGCGGTCACTGTTTTTTTTGGGAGAAGAGAAATCAACGATGAAGAAGGTCAATTTGCATGGAATGGATGGCAAGGAAGATCATGTTGATGGACGATGTTCAAAAATCTGTTAAATTGAATATGAACGAAAGCAGACGACCTGTACTACGGAACATCAAAAATCAGGAGTGATACACAGCAAGCAAGTCCGACTGATAAAAAGGTGTCTCAAGGATCAGCACAACACTATCAACCTTCACCTCAACAAACTGTAAAGAACTACAGCACGGCGCACGCGAAAGATTCAGAATATGATTTTCCAACTTAAATGATGATGCAGCAGGCGCCAATCAAAAAGACGCCAATCACAGGACGAAATGATTTGATAGTGCAAAAACGCCAATGACGTTCAAAATAGCAAAAAAGCGCAAAAACACGAAAGCAAAAGCAGGATGGATCCATCGTGCCCCGGAGCGCATGGGTTCTAGAACGCATGGCGCATGGATTCAGAAACGGACGCATGACCTTAGAAATCAGGATCCACTCAAGAAGATTTTGATCTCCCACAGTACCAGTAGTAGAGTCTCCGGTTGACGACGTGAGTCACCGAGACTCACACAAAATTATGCACATGTTGACCGATTTCGTGCAGGAGAGAGTGCACAAAGACTTCAGCATGCAAGAATGCGAAGATCTTTATTAAGATGCTTCCATTGTCATCTTCTTTCAACAGGAGAGGGAATGTCACTCACACTCCTGTTCTTGAGAAGTAGTTGTCTCAGTCTTCGGTCGAGGACGGATTTTTACATCTTTGGAGCACGACGAACATCTCATCTTCCTCAAATTCGAGGTAGTTCAAGCTTCCAGATGCTAGGCGAAATACGCGGCCAGGCGAGCTACGCTTTGAAGAAAAATGAAAATCAACATCCAACTTTGTTGCCTCTTCAACATGAACATACAAAGATGGTAGCCATCATGACATTGACAAGTTCTCTTACCTGTCAACGTAAGAAACCGAAATGGCAACCGTTCATAAAAAATAGTTCTGCGTTCGTCGCTCTATTTTTTTGTGCGACATTCAAACTCGTCGGGGAAGCTAGGGTCTGCGCATACTGGCGCTACTTTCTTTGTAGTCTCGTCTCCGCTTCTGTCTGACTTGCAACTTACTAGTTCGCCCCCATTCTACAACTCCTGGGCCAATAATCACGATTACGGTGCGACTTGTTACGCATGGAGATCTAGAGCAACCAGATCAATGGGCAAGGCGCTCGGCGCTCCGCATTCCTCGAATTGAGTCGGTTGGTTCTTCGTTCTTGGTCTGTTGGTTCTCCGCTTGCGTTCGTCCTTCTCCTTCTGGGTGTTCTCGTTGAATGATGGAAATCAATGCGATCAGGCTCAGGGCTCTGAGTCTTCTGACGATGATCATAGCGACCGGGATCCTTATGCTAATATAAATAAGAACCCCCTTAAGATGTTGGCGCACGATGATGATTATGGCTGGCCATTCAGTACAGTGCCAACATTAGGATACGAACAGCACGCAAATGCGCGCGATTTAGGTTGTGGATGTTACTCGGTAACACCACCACCACAACAACAGGGACAAGCCTGCCAGGGGCATAATATCTGGAAGGCTTCGGCCCATTGCACGACTTCACAAATACCTGACCAAAAAAGGGTATAGCAGTAGAGCTAGAGGGATGTCGCGATTAACAACTTCAACTCTATCCTCAAGTTTCACTAGTACACGAATCAGCTTCGAAAGTACTCATGAAAATCTGCTTTAACGCGAGAATTGCAACGTTTACATCCCATTATTGGTTCTGGTTCTGCATCCTCTGCGAAAACTGCTCAGAAATCTATTCAATTCTAATAAATACTGCTAGGTACTAGCAAGCTATACAAGTGCAAGCTCATCAAAAACGAACAAGAAAACTCAGGAAACTTTGACTTCTGGAGTACCTGCGTTTCTGCACGACGTGCTTCTGTTTTTAGTTACTCTGGATAGCTATTCACCAAAAATCAAAAGGTACACGATTTACATTTTCTAAAGTTCGACAAAAAATCAGATACTAACGAAAACAATCATAGTCCAAAACAAAATACGCTACAAGTACAAGCTCTCTACAATTCAAGTTTATGTTCGTCTTGTTTCTTTGTGGATAATCACACGGATTGTTCAATAGAGTTGGTGAAATTTTCACTTGAACATTCTCGGAATCAACATTGGCACTTCCGTTTTCCAGGTCTCGAACTCCAAGCCATACCGCGATAGACTCTTCTCTTTCTCCGGGATGCCGACCACAATGACAGAAATGATAAACAGCCATGCGACCGGTATCCGGCTGTACTGGTTCGTGATTCCCGCAACGATGGTCATCCCAAGCCAAATCAAGATTAGCGACCCAAGCCAGAAAGTAAACCGAGATTAGCGACCACTTCGCAATGTAGTCGACCTTCCCTTGGATTCGTACCTTGGGCGAGTTGTATAATTGCAAGTCCGGGTAAATGTTGCTCTTTAGAACCCACGCTATTCCGTACGCGCCAAAAAGGCCTGTCGTTAAAGCCGCCAGAGCAGTCCAGTTTCCGGAAACCGCCATGCAACCGAGGCCAAAAGGAAACCTCCAGCACGCCTTGCGCAGTTCCAACAACCGTCCTAGAAAAGGTTCTCTGCATTTTGTTTCCGTCGGCCGAGTCGATCGTAGTCATCCACCTCCACCTGCGGAACTGTGAAGGCTGAAGCGAAGGCGCCGTCAGCAGAAGCTCCTTTACTGCCATCTTTGGCTTTGCAGCTTCCTTTCTCGCTTCCTCTACTGTTAGTAGTCAGGAGGGGCTTTTCAAGCGCGATAGAGGAAGAGGAATTTCCTGCAGGCGTAGTAGTGGTACCACCTAAATCTGCTCCCTGTGATTGAAGCCGTAGTCTGGGTACGCCAAACCTGTACCACAAAATACCACGACAGAACGAACATCGCAGCCACCAGAACGAAAAAAAGGATGCCGCTTTCGGAGGATAGGTAGTTTACGAGGGCGCCTGGTTTCTGTTTCAGGTCCATCATCTTAACTCTTGGAAGTTCTGTTTTTGACTTTAAAAAAAACCTTTGGGAGCTGGTTGCTCACCCTAACGAGTCGAAATTAATACGCTCGTCTTCCAAAAACTCAAAATATAAAATCAAAAACATCCTTACGCTTACAAAGAGTGTGATCAACAATTTAACTTTGATACTCGATTTCCGTTTCAGTAGCAAAGACTCTAAAAGATGCTGATGCACACATCTTCTACAAACAACTTTCAGTGTCGATCAGGGGAACCAGTATTAGTAGAAGTAAGTAGAAAAAACATCCGTCACGTTTGACACGACAACAAGGATCACGCCTACACAAAACAATAGAGATTTAGCCCAGCATGATTGACATTGACTTTTAGGCGGATGCCTAGAGGAAGTCACTCGAAAGGGATCTTATCGCTCGAGAATCGATCTAACCTCTTCTGCCACTGCCTCTTGGCTCACATCGACAATGGTGTGCCATGTACACACCGACACCATTACGTAGAACTATGCTTCCTCTTTAGACCTCGATTCTCACGCACTCTCTGTCTCATTTTTTTGCTCTAGATAAATGCGCACAATACCAAACACAAGGACAAACAATTGCCTTCTTCATCCGAGACTTTCGTGGGATACTTTCTCGTCGACTTACGACTTTTGTATCAATACATTCTACATAGGGTACACGAGGACAGATTGTTCAGATAGGTGCTCATCATCTGCGTTAGTTGAGCTTGGAGTACGTCTTATGAAGTGTGTGGCCTCCTAATCCTATATGTAATATATATAATGGATGAGCTTCCTGCGTCTTCATGTATGATGAATGAAGATGGATCGGACTTCAATTTCAAGAACACAAACACAATCCTTATCAAGATATTATATCCGCCCCAGTTCAGTTAAGCGGGGTAAGTACATTTGTCCATCTGGGCGTCGTGCTACCGATTCCGAGAGGTGCCTTTTTCCCGTGTACCACGGAAGTTCGGCTCTGAGTTCCATTGTGTGGTTCTGCTGTGGGTGTTCCGATACTGTACAGGCGTTGTGCAACCTACACCAGCGGCGCCACCGATCCAACCGCTCGAGGCACTCCTCAAGCCTGTAGCGGCCATGTCATTTTCTGTTCGCCAGTACCGGCGGATCGCCCATATCGACCTTTTCTCGATTCTGTCATGGCACCATTATGAAAAAACGCTCCTTGTGATCTCTGACCACGACCGGAAAACCTTCTTAAACCATGTCGGACCCCGTGCTCGCACTCTGCTTGTGCTTGTGCGCTGTAGAACTTCTTCTACGACGTGCGCGAACCTGTTCTTGCTGCTACAATATCGTTTGGATTCATCTGATGTCCGTCGGCATCTTCTTCACTTGTATCGATCGCCCGAAATCTTCCGTACTGAATTTTTCACAGTCGAATGGTGTCAGAGTGTCGCCGACCAGTGTACACGGAAGCCAATTTACGCCTTTTGCCTGTTTCACAGCGCAGAGCCTTCGGTTGTCAAGCGTGAAGAGAAATACACCACACCCTCCTTCTGTTGGTTCAACAAGGCAGGCTTCAACCGTGACTAGATTCTGCACTCCCGTGCTTGTGCATGCAGTTCCACAGGGTACCAATTGCTTTCCGCTCGCCTTATCCACAAGACACACTTGCGGCGAAGGGATGTCGTAAACGTCCTTCTGTCCCGTCATCAACTGGTCCGACAGATCAGACACTGGATTACCATTTCGGAAGACGTCGCTCGCAGTCCGCTGTGAATATCGCAATAATGTTAGAGTTAGAGACCTACCTCGACAACGACACCTACACTCAATCAAAACCATACAAAGTAAGTATAAGTATTATAATTATTCCTTCTTAATCTTCACGCGCACATAGGCATGTGAGAATGATCTCTCCCACCCTGTCTTTCTGCCACAGGGGCTAGCTCCTACGGTCAATTGAATTTGAAGCGAAATATTCCAGACTAACTTTCACAGCATGCACTTGTAGATGAACGATGCTAAATAGCCAGAGTTGATGGGGTGACTTTTTTTCTCGATGACAAAGTGGACTTTTGCTATTTCTAGTACCATCTAAGACTCAACATAATAGGTCGACTGCAATAAGCGCGCGAGTGCGGACACGTTTCAGCTTACATAGTTCCGACAAACACAGATCAAAAGGTGCTCGCAACAGAGTCGTCATGTATACTGTACATCCCGGAATGAAATCTTTGCCCATCTCTGCTGACTTGAAAGAGCCCCAAGTCCATGCGCCTCGATGTATCGCGTCCATGGCATCTTTGACCCAGTCATAGCAGAGTTTGTAGAGTACCGACGCCATCAACAGGTGGTCTGCATTACGAATCCGCGGCAGAAAACCGGTAGGGTTTCCCAAAGGCACAGCATGTGTCGACTCATCGGAAAAACCGTATTGCGTCCGCAGTTCCAGTCTGATCTCGTCAAGCTTCTCAGAAAGCGCCGCGCTTTCTCCCTCAAGCCTCTCTCTAGAATCCATTTTCTGCCTGGCTCTGGCCTCAGTGCTTCGGCGTAGCCAAAGCAAAGCCATCTCAGCGATACGACGCCGGAGTGTGCCGTCATTAAATTGAGCGCGAACCATGAGCGAAGCATGTGCATGAAGTGAAAGAATTGAATCGCCGAAATCTGTGCGGGGACAGCGGATTCCGCTACAATTTTTCTTCTTGGACATTTTGTGACTCCTGAGTTCTTCCTCGCCGGTAACGGAAGATGAAGGAGCGCACTCAGCGTTGTCTATCAGTCCGAAAGCCTCGGGTAGCAAGTCGTCGTCTGGACCAGGAATACGCCCAAAACGATCGAAGCCAACAGCCGCTCGAAGACCCTCCCATCTTTTCATGTATGGGTCGCTGGTACGCCGTGCATTATCAAAAACAGCCCATCCTTCAAACGCATTCGCGAATCCGAGCATGTCTTCGAAGATTATATTCATGGGCTTGGCCTTATACGCACTCGCCTCTCCGATGCCAAGTCCCTTTTCTATTCGAAAGCTCTGCGTTTCTTCCTTCCAAGGAAGAACCTTTTTCGTTAGAGGTCGCTGCGTTTCGATAAACATGCGCTTCCGTCTGATCAAGCTGGGATCAAGGCCCTGTTTTAAAGCATCCATTGCGAGGCCAGCTAGTGCTGAAAGATGAGGTAGTGCTTTATCTTCGCCACCGTAGTGCTGGAGGACAGACTCGCTCGACGAGCATGCAATTGCCTTTTCGTCCGACCTCACATGCTTCACTAAGAGATCCGTGATCGCGGTGCGGAGAGCTGCGACAAATTCGTCTTGGCATTCCTTGTCAGCCATTAGACTCGAAGGGCTACATTGACCTCCTTCCGGTTCTGGGCGGTTCGTCTTTCTTCGTTCATGACGGACCCCAAGCCGCCTACGGCGTTCCATTATGCGAGCATTCGTGCGGACCAGAATCGCTCCAATCGTTGTTTGAGCCTTGTCAACCACGTCATCTTTCGTTGGTAGTTTCATCAGATCGACAGGATACATATCTGAGCTTTGCGGAGTCGTGGTGGCCGAAGGCTGCGCATAAGGCTCCGCAACTCCGGGACTGACGTCGCCCTTCAAATAGCTATCTCGTGGCACAGTGTGCGGAATCTTTCTTCGAGGTGCTGTACTTTTGTGCTCGTCGTTTTCACTGGTCCGCTTGAGCGAATCGGCAACACAACAGCCAATCTGCTGCAAAGAAGGAGCTGAGTTCGACGCTTGAACCACGCGACCGCCAAAATCCCTGCAGGCGAAGTTTAAGCTCTGTCCAGTTGTGACAGGCGGCGCAGTGGAGAAAGCCGCGTCCGGTGTCGATCCCAACGAGGTTGGCAAAGCAGTCGTCTGTGTTGTCTTCACTCTGCTGAAGCATGATTTCGCTGGTGTAGTTAGGTTGCTCCGGGTGATAGCTACCCTGCCCATGCCACTCAAGGTCAAGGGCGCAGGCGCTGGCGGCGACTCGAGACGTGTGGCTGCTGGCGCTGTTTTGGCGCTTAGAGGTGGGGAAGGGCATGCCATGGACCCAGGTCGGACTTTAGTCCGTCCTTGGGGGAAGGTTCCACTTCCACTTCCAGCATCACCATAATACTTGAAGACGAGGCCACTACACCTGGCGTCATGTTGCATGTACAGCTGCACTACCTGCCTAGCCCAGACGCATATGACATCATCGCCGTCCATGTCACCGCCTGCGAGAGGATCCGGAGCGCAGGCGGCCAATGTTGGATGTGTCGAGCAAAACAACAAATTGGCAGCGCCGCGATGACGCTTGCGCAGCAGGTCGACTATGTCGGGGTCTGCAACTGCTTCCCACATCTGCATCTGGCTCGGTTCGTGCGCTGGAGTGCGCATCACTAGCACTGGCCCCCTCACCGGGACTGTCTCTACGTCTTCGCGCCCAAGCCTCTTTCTCTGACGGCCACCGGAGGGGAGAAGCAGGGCGCACTGCATTGGCAGAAGCTTACGCGTCCAGTCTGGCACGATTTTGAAGGTAGCAGAGTTCGGGCAGCGGTAGTGGAACGCGTGGGGAAGTGTCTTAGAGAAGCCACGCTTTCTGCTGTTTACGACAATATCAGCTCTCGCGCCCTCTTCTAAACGGATTCCGGCCTCGCGTAACGCTGTTCCCATTTGAACCACTGCGGACGCAGGTCCTCCGCGTTGACTCTTCTTGTTAGTCGCTGTCTTGACAAGTAAGGCGCCATTTGCAAAGGCCCGCTCATCTTCATCATCACAGAGAGAACTACTACGACCGAGCGCGAGGCCCGTCCCAACGACGTCAGCGTCTCCCGAGTAATGGCTCTCCGGACCAGTCGCGCTAAAACTATCAACGCGCACGCCGCTCCGTCCAGTCATTGTTTCATGCTGATCCGGGGGCTCGGCTTTACTTCGCTGCAGGCTTTCTGCTTGAGCTTCGCACGGATTAGAAAGTGCCCGCATCGCTGTCGCCGTGTTGAGGGTCATCCGAATGCCGAAGCTCGAGCGAAGCTCGTTAGCCAGGTGTCTGTCTTGAATGGATCGAAAAACAGCGAGGAGATCCTCACCCAGCTGACAGCTCTCCTGTAGAATCGCCAGCATCTGCGTATTGCAGCGAGCTTCGAATGCGGTACGTCCGTCAACGATCCCGCCTCGGCAAACTTCAATCGTGCGGGCAAAATCGTCCCAAAGATGCGGATACGGCGTATACTTCACTTGCGACTTCGATAGGACCTAGCAGTTTGTGACGGGGAAGTATCAGAGGCAATGCGCGCCACCAGCTAGATGTATGAAGCAAGATCGCAAATATAGGAGATCCGTCAACGCATGACATTATAGTATTAGGGCCACACGTAATCGATATTCAAACTATTGAATCATAGATCTGTAGCAGTCGTGCAAAAGTGCACAATTGTCTTCCAAAACAAAAACGCAAAGTAGAACGGTTTCTATTACTTAGCATTAGTTACGCCTACATACGAAAGTAACAAAAACTCAATACAGTGTAGGTCTAGGTATGTAGGTATATCTGTGCGTCTGTATGTCTGTGGGTCTGTTGTGTGTCTGTTGTGTGTCTGTTGTGTGTCTGTTGTATGTCTGTTGTATGTCTGTTGTATGTCTGTTGTATGTCTGTTGTGTGTCTGTTGTGTGTCTGTTGTGTGTCTGTTGTATGTCTGTTGTATGTCTGTTGTATGTCTGTTGTATGTCTGTTGTATGTCTGTTGTATGTCTGTTGTAATGTATGTCTTGTATGTGTGTATGTCCAAGGAATAGAGCCACACACCCTCACGCCTATGCTTGGCGTGTTGCCTGGCTCTTGGTGCGACTGACGCGGGCAGACCGGTTCCACGGGTCCCCCCACCTGGTGGTCACCAGCATGACCCACCCACAGAGGGCGCGCGTGTGTTGTACAGGTGTGACGATGACCCTGACAAGCCACCTGACTAGAGGCGAAAGCCGTCGCAGCCCGGTGTGGCGCATGACAAGCCACCTGACTACGACCATGACGGTGGGCCCGAGCTGCCACCTGGATTTGGCTTGACCAGTCGGCTCGCTGTCTCACCACATGCCCACACGCGGCGCCATGGCTTGAGGACTGCGCGACCCCTACACACAGGCCCCGCGCCCGTCAGCATTGCCCACGTGGTGACTCTGGGGCGACTTCCACAAAGTGGCCCCAGGTGCTGGGGGAGCCGCCCGCGTCCACCTTATCGACTGCGGTGCTTTCTTGTTTTCTGCCATTCGTCCCGCCTTCACTGGGCAGGTGAGGGTCAGGGGTTGAGCAGCGCAGACACCCCCGGCGAGGGATCTCGCCAAAACTTCCCTTGTCATGGCGTGGGGCGAAGTTTCCGAGTCATGTATGTATGTATGTGCGTGTGTATGTATGTGTGTGTATGTGTGTGTGTGTGTATGTGTGTAGGTATGTGCGTGTGTGTGTATGTATGTATGTGCGTCTGTATGTATGTATGTATGTGTGTGTGTGTATGTCTGTATGATCCGTGTACGTAGCGCGTTGCAGTTCGCCAACATTCCCGCTCAATAGAGCCCACATCATTTATGGGCGCGGGTTCTCCTTGCATCAGTTGCACTGTAGTGCTCACCGGGTTAGCGGGAGGAGGGTACCCTTTTCTTGTTCTTAGTGTTGACATGTGGGACAGAAACAAAGTGCCCACATTGCCGGGGGGAACTGCTATGCAAACGGTAAGTCATGCGTGCACATCTGTGGATCTTCAACGCAGGTCCACATGATTTGCTGAGGTCAGAGAATAATTAATGGGCGCCGTCATCTTTTCTGAAAAATAGAAAACCAGCATCATCATCTTCGCGATCAACTCCTCATCAAGTCCTTCCTTGACTGCAGCCCCTCACTTGCCACCTCGCGCCTGCCTGGCCTTGCCTTTCTTTCCCCTCGCCGGGCCGCTGGCACTGCCCTTGGGCCCCTTCTTGCCTTTGCCCTTTTTGTTGCGATCGTTGCCAGCACCTGCACCAGCCGCTTGCCCTGCTTCTTGTTCTTGCTCCTGCTCGTCGGCCCCAGAGCGGAAGAGGCCCTCGGTTTGATCTTCACGGAGGACGCAAAACGCTTGAAGACGTTGCTCTCCTCGTGTCTTATAATCTGGATGAACCAATCTCATAGAAAAAGACATCGCGGGATCTTCATATATGTTCCAGGGCTCAGGGCGGGAGGCCCCCCCCCCCGATCTAACTTTTTGAAGGGGGGGGGGCC